CTACTTCCTTCCTCCAGGCTTTTCACATTTATCGCTAAAGCTGTATTGAGTGAGGGCAGATATATTTTTCAATTCCACAACTGCTGGTGCACCACAACTTGCAAGGATCTGTAATCTTAGTGCTCATATAATGCCTTACAAATAGTAACTTTTCAGTAAATATTTGTTGGGGGAGAATGAGTAGATGAATTTGCATTGTAAGAACTCTAAACTGAGCTCTGGGTTATAAATAATACTATTTATATAAGTGGAAATAAGTTTTTTATTTATTCATAGATTATAACCAGAAAACTACACTTAAAAATAAGTTCCTGAAGTGAAAGTAAAAATTAATATTTTCTTCTCATGAAGTAAGTGTGGTGATATTTTACCCATTTACAAGTTATTCAAATATTTAGAGATGCTCACTCCAGTAAATAACTACATCCGTGGAGGGTGTCTTAGTCAGTCTGGGCTCCTTTAACAAAGTATCATAGATTGGTGGCTTGTAAACAACAGAAACGTATTCTCAGAGTTCTGGAGGCTGGGAAGTCCAAGATCAAGGCGTTGGCAAATAGGCAGTCTGGTGAGGGCCTTCTTTCTGTTCATAAATGGTGAAAGAAAGCCATGCTTTCTCCCGGCTCCCCACATGTTGTTTTATTTTATTCCATTCATGTGTACTTCACCCTCAATACCAAATTACCTCCCAAAGGTCTCCTAATACCATCACTATGAGGGGTAGGATTTCAATTCATGAATTTTGAGGGAACACAAATATTCAGTGTAGAGAAAACACCTGAAGTCCAAAAATTTATATTAAGAAAAAGTCAGGCTGGGTGCAGTGGCTCATGCCTGTAATCCCAGTTTGTGGGAGGCCAATGTGGGAAGATTGCTTGAGGCCATGAGTTCTCAACCATCCTGGGAACACACTGAGACCCCATCTCTACAAAAAAAACAAAAAACAAAACAAAACAAAACGAAGGGCCAGGCATGGTGGCTCACGCCTGTAATCCTAGTACTTTGGGAAGCCTAGGCGGGCAGATCACCTGAGGTCAGAAGTTTAAGACCAGCCTGGCCAACATGGTGAAACCTGTCTCTACTACAAATACAAAATTAGCCAGGCATGGTGGTGGGTACCTGTAATCCCAGCTATTTGGGTGGCTGAGGCAGTAGAATCACTTGAGCCCAGGAAGTGGAGGTTGCAGTGAGCTGAGATCACGCCACTGCACTCTGGCCTGGGTGACAAGAGCGAGACTCCATCTTAAAAAAAAAAAAAAAAAGCCAGGCATGGTGGTGCATACCTGTAGTCCCACCTACATGGAAGACTGAGGCAAGAGAATTGCTTGAGCCCAGGAGTTCAAGGCTACAGTGAGCTATGATCATGGCACTACACTCCAGCATGGGCAACAGAGGGAGACCTTGCCTCTTAAGAAAAAGAAAAAGTCATACAAGTATAATTCACACTTGGATCTCTATAGCCATTTGGTTAATATTCCAGTTGTGTATTAGACATTTAGTAAACATGTTCTGTATTCTTGTAGAGAAAAATGTGTGAGGAGGAATGGAATCTATGATACCTATTTAAGGATTGAACCTTATGATTTCCTCTCTAACTGTGGGGCTTAGAGCCCTAAAACCGTATGTAAAGATAAGTTTGTGGCTGAGAAACTTAAAATTTTAAGGGGAAACTAGGCTGGGGGACCTTAAATTGAATGTATGTGACAGTTTTTGCCTTTGCTAAAAGAAAACAATCTATGTGACATTTTACATATCTTAATTAGTAATACTGGAAACTGTCCTGCTCAACTTCATTTACCATCCATTTTTTGCTAGAGACTCTCAGTGCTCACTCTTAAATGCTTGTAAATCTGTGCTGCTTTGTGAAGATGAGAGATGTATGAAGTAGTATTTTTCTGAACCTTCCCCTCTATTTAAACATTCCGTGTCTGTGCTTTTCGGATTCAGAGTTGACCTTATGGGTCTTGCCTATAAGGTCCTATATTTCATAGTGAAATATGATTAGAAGGCTGATTAGGATGATTAAGAGAATGACAGGGTATTTACCTATGTTTGCCTCCTATCTGTTTATCAGTTCCCCTTCACTCTATTCAGGTTTCTGCAGCTATGGGTCCTCCCATCATTATTTCATGACAAGACCTTTATCCACATCTCTGACTGTCTTGCCCTCTGAGGATGCCTGGGTGTATTTGCTTTCTTCCATCTCCCTTTATCTTTCTTAATAATTCACTGCAACCATTTCTGCCATCAGCTGTACTTCCCTTTTCTGTTTCTGACCTCTTTTCTCTTCTTATGAATTTTCCAAATAAGAGTAGCTCATGATTTGTAAAAAGTAGAACTGAAATTCATATTGAAATTCAGACAGAGAAGGTATACAGAAATATATTCACATATAGTTGGATTTAATGTAAGGGATGTCAAGGTAGGGAAGTGATTACTATATAGATGTTTTCTATTATATTTGTGATTGAAAAGTAAATTTTATATGATAGTCATAGCTTGTCTTAAAAAGTTTGGTATGTGATAATATCAGTACAGTAAAAGGCTATTTCACATTTTAAAACTAAATCTTTATTAAATAATTATTTCACAAGTTAGTAATGTAATTATTGATATTCTTCTTCAGGGATTAGAGTTCCTATGCTTCCTAAACGGACTTTTAAGGAAAGATAAGACTATATTCAGTGCAATTTTAATGTTACATATTATATCTTATTTTTTAAATTGATATTTTATGAAGGAGTCTATGGAATATAATAGGAAAATTCTGGTTTGGTAGGCAGGAAACCTGGCTTTCAAGTAATAGCTTTTATATAAAATTCAGGCATTCTTTTTCTCTAATACTTGAAGTAGCTATTTTCATTTTCATTTCATTTTCTGTATTTTTCCTGATACTTTAAAACATTTTTTTATTTTCAAATGAACAGCCCTCAAAGATGAAAATAAAGAGCAAAAGTTTCTTAATGTCTTAAATACTTTTGTATGTATTAAGTGACTTTCTTTAAATTGAATCTTACTTTTCTAGTGACATCTGTTAGGATTTCTGAAATGTGTTCCTGTGAGTAAAATTTGACAAGCCGCCCTACCTGACTGTCAGTGGCCTGGTTATTTATTTAGTTATTTATTTTGGTTTGCCTTTTGTAAAAAATGCTTAGAGACAAGTCAACTAGTTTTTTTGTTGATGTCTCCAATGCTGTTGTCGTGTAAACTTATAATGTGTTTCTTGAAGCCATGTGAGCAGCCTTAGCATAATTTCAGGAGAATGCCATCAGCTAGTCTTCTAGTTAGTACTACACTGAATTTACTGCCTGCTTTTTAGAATTTCCTTGCCAAACCTTCGCAGAATGACTCGTCATATAATTGAATACAGCTGTAGTTTATTTTATTTGCCAAAAATAATTACTAGTGCCCACTAAAATGGTGATTAAAATCCACTTGATGTTTGTACTTTTTTTGCTAAGATTTTGAAAATGTGCTTAAAATGAGGCTTCTATAATAAAACTAATGTAGTTTCCTGAATTATGAAGTTCATGTTCTCATTTAAGGTTGCAGTTTAAACTGATCTTTTATCAAAATTTAGACTAAAGAAGAGATTTTCCGTCTAATTTATTTACCTATAGAATTTTTAACTTTTTAGTATGAAGTACCATTTTGCGAGTGCTCTAATTTTTATTTGTTAAATAAAAAGAAAACTAAATTTTATTCATTGTGTGGATATAGCAAGTACACATAATTTTATAAACATCTTTTTGTAACCTATATTGAATCCCAGAGGTCCTGACTCAGGTTTCGAAAAAGCTCAAAATACAGGCACTTACAGCACAGGTGCTAACAACAATTTGTCCTAATCAGTTCAGGGCCAAGGTTCAGTTCCTTCTTCTTTGGCCAATAGGATGTTTTAGTTATGAAATGTAGACATCTCAGCACTTTGGGAGGCCGAGACTGGCAGATCGTTTGAACCCAGGGGTTTGAGATCAGCCTGGGCAACATGGCAAAACCCCGTTTCTACAAATAATACGAAAATTAGCCAGGTAATGTGGTGGTGTGCCCCTGTAGTCCCAGCTATTTGGGAGGCTGAGGTGGGAGGACTACTTGAGCCCGGGAGGTTGAGGTTACAGTGAGCCATGACTGTGTCACTGCAGTGAAGCCGGGGCGACAGATAACCTGTTTCTTAACAAAGAAAAGAAAGAAGGAAGGAAGGGAAGGAGGGAAGGGAAGGAAGGAAGGAAAGAAAAGAAAAGAAATAAACATAGACATACCTTAGAGCAACAGTTCTCAAGGAGATACTTTCATGAGATCCCAGACATCTTCCTTTTCCAACTATCTGTGTGTGAGGCTGCGTTTTCTTTAATGCATTTCAACTAAACACATCACAATAGCCTGAATGCAGAAGAGAAAGGCCAACTGTTTTCTGTTGAGCTAGAAATTAAGGATATTTGTAAAAATATAAAGCTACTCTTTTTACTACCTTTTTTTTTTATTTGGAAAATATAGTCATTTTTCATAGAAACATTTATGTAAATATGTAAAACAGTTAAAATAAATTAATAAATATATTTAACATTTCTTTTGAAGTTTTGATTTCTAATATGAAAAATATTAACAGATATAACTGACATAAGAGCCCTTTGGGTCCTCAGTAATTTTTGAGAGCATAAAGAGGTCTTGGAGATCATAGAGTTTAACAATTGCTGCCTTAAAGAATTGCTTCTGGGCCAGGCGCAGTAGCTCATGCCTGTAATCCCAGCACTTTGGGAGGCCAAGCTGGGCGGATCACAAAGTCAGGAGTTCAAGACCAGCCTGGATAATATGGTGAAACCCTTTCTCTACTAAAAATACAAAAAAAAAAAAAAAAAATTAGCTGGGCGTGGTGGTGCACGTCTGTAGTGCCAGCTACTCAGGAGGCTGAGGCAGGAGAATCACTTGAACCCAGGGGGCGGAGGTTGCAGTGAGCTGAGATCACACCACTGTACTCCAGCCTGGGTGACACAGCGAGACTCCATCTCAAAAAAAAAAAAAAAAAAAAAAAAAAAGAATTGCTTCTGTACTTAAATGCCCTTCACTTACAGATTGTCTTTAATCACAAAAGGGTCTTCAATTGAAAAAAAATGATGTGTTTTATTTGGGTAAAGTAAAAGAGGCCTAGAAGATGGGCAGATTCTAAACAGTGTTCATCATCTGAATGAAAGAAGATTCTGGATAAACTCAGCATGCAGTTACAGATACTGAAGAGGAAGGGCGCTGACTGCGAACCATGGTGCTTCTTGGCATTTGTAACACAGGACTACTGACATCATTCTTTCTGACATTGTTATTATTCTGAATTGAAGGGAGCTCCTGTTCTCACTTCTTGTAAACCAGTCTTTGTTTTTGAACTTTTTATGCAATGATGAGAAGAGATCTCAACTTAGAAATCTTGTTGAGCTGCGTGAAATAGGAAGTGGCATATAAACTTACAAGATGATTATAATGAAGTACGTATAGTTGATGCACTGTGATTTAGTTTTGTCATTAAGATATTGTTTTGGAAAAATATCTGACTTATAAAATAGAATCTTAAAAATGTTTAATCATAATAATCACCTACATTATTAGGGTGCTTTCGAGTTTAAAAAGTCATTTTATATGTTCTAAAGAATGTAAGCACAATAAAATAACTATGTAGTTTTAAGTTAATATAATTGGTTTGGGTCACTGCTCTCTGTACAGCCTGTACCCAGTGTTTATATTCAGTGTGTTATTATAAAATGCTTAATACATATTGTATGTAATCATCTAGCTCTAAGTACTATGCTTATCTAATCCATTATTTTGATAATCGTATTTCTATTTCTATTACAGGGATGATGAATTAGAGTTCAAGATGAAATAGTTGAACTTATTTATAAACAGAGAACTGAATGTTTTTAGGATTTTTAGGGCAGTGAAACTACTCTTATGATACTATATTGGTAGGTACATGTCATTATAAATTTGTCCAAACTCAAAGAATATAAAATTAAAAAAGTGAACCCTAATGTAAAATATGGACTTTGGGTAATAATGATGTGTCAGTGTATGTTCATCAATTGTAATAAACATTCCTTCCTAGTGGGGAGGTTGTTAATGGGGGAGGGTGTGCGTGTGTAGGGGCAGGAGTTATATGGGAATTCTCTGTACCTTCTGTTCAATTTTGCTGTGAACCTAAAACTGCTCTAAAAAATAACCTCTGCTTTAAAAAGGTATGTGTACTCTGTAATCTTTTATTAGAAATCTTTGTTGCTACTTTTACATGGAAAAATACAGGATGAAGTCATTATTCCCTAGAATAAATTATGGAAGTTATCATTCAAAGTTATAATGGAGTCAGGATGCTACGAAGAAAGTAGATTATCTCAATAGTGTTGTGTGTGTTGACTGATTTGGGGAAGAGAGTAATTAGTGAAAATATATGAAGTCCATGTTGAGTCAGAGCAAAATGGATAATCACCTTTTGAGAAGAAAAAAATCATCAAAAAGAGTCTAAAAAATTATCTCGGTACAGATTTTAGGAAAATCTAGAAGAGGTGGAAGTAATGAGGCTGCTCATGTTATCACCTTAGTCTGGGTTTGCTGGTTAGAGTATGTATGTTTGGAAGAGAGAGGGATAAGTTCAGGAAATACCGACAGAGCATGGGAACTATACTAGGTTCAGCGATTCCAAAACCAAAAATGAAAATTATATAACAATGCTAACAATATATGTAGTATTTCCAGAGTTTCCAAAGCCTCATTTAAATTGTGCCTGAAAATGTTAGACATCATTTTTTAAAATTGGAAAAAATGAGGAATACAAAACTTAAGTAACCCATCCAAAGGCACATACTAGTTGGTAATAAGGAAGATAACTAACATTAACTCATTTACATAAGAACTCTAAGAACTTAGTACTATTATTTCTAACTCACAGATGGGAAAACTAAGCGTCAATGAGGTTGACTAACTTGCCTAAGAGTGCGTGGTTAATAAGTGACAGCTGGGATTTTAAACTACATTGAGTCTGTGCTCTTAATCAGTATGTTCTACATCCTATCTGTTGTTTTTGTTATTTTTTGGATAGACCATCTTGACTTACTTAGATTTAAAATAAAATCCATTGCAGCACAAACATTTGCAGGGGTGGCTAAGATCCTAACAGAGGCCCAGGAAGATGACAGCAAACCTTTCCTAATGCCAGGCTTATATTCTTGTCTCATTCTTATCTTTGAAGTCAAAACATTTTTAGTCCCTAGAAACAGTAACATGACTGTGTTAGGACACTAATTAATTAGCATTGAGGAGTTGTTTTCTGATTATAAATACATAACTATTGTACTCCCATTCCCTGGTTGGTAGGATTGCTGTTTGTGCACATTATTTGAGGAGATGGAATAAACAGGCAAAATCAGTTTTTACAACCCTGTGTGAATACTGGTCTGTACAACAAAGATTATATTCACTATGGTTGTAAACTCCTTGTCTGCCTATAATATTAATATGGAATGAATGTTATCACCAAGTTATTGTAACTCAGAAGACTTCAGAAAATATCCTCTAGGTATCACATTAAATTTGTAATTATAGTACTTTTTGCTTGCCTTGAATGACTTTCCTTGGAAGCCAGAAGCCTTGTGTTCTGTTGCTAGCACCATCATCAATGTTACCTTGGGTAAATCATTGAAACATGTTGAACGTATGTTCCATTTGGCAGTGGGAATGCCATATGCTCTCAAATTGCTTCAGTGTGATTTTGTAAAAGTGAAATTGATTTTTAAAATGTGAATATATAAAGTGATTCCATTACTTGTTAAGTAGCTTCATAAAGCTAACAAATAATAAAAGAATAAATGATGTTTTGGAATTTAAAAAAGACCTCTTTCGTTTTCTGTCATCCAAAATCTCGCTTAATTTTGCCTTAAAGCTATTCTGAGTGTTAATATATAATGCTTTTTAAAAATCGGCCAAGGTATCTTTGGGCATTTATAGTCCTTCTCTGTTCAGAAATGTCATTAACTTGAAATATAAAGATGCTTTCTAAGGAAATTGGTTTGCCTAGCCAGATCTTTTAATGTAGTTATTTTGCTATGTGAGCTGTAAAACCCAAACATTGAGGCTGCTTTCCACAATGCCTTGTTGCCCAGACAGTGATGTCATGTTTTAAGCATGTTTAGTTTGCAAAGGTCCTGCTTTTGATCCTTTAGTTGTCACTTTTTTAATGCAGCTCCTCCTGAATCACAAAGGTACTGAAAGTAATTTGCTTCATTAAGGTCTGTTGCTGACACTGTTGTATTTCATTCGTCATTCTTCTCTTAGCCTCCTTCATTAAGACCTTATTCAAATTTGGATCATGGTTCTACTGCGACATCCATGCCATTATCATCTAAATAGCAATTACATATTCAAAAACAACAGCTTCTCCTTAACTGTCTGTAACTTAACATTTTACATAGATTCAAGTGGGAATTAAGAATAAAATGAATCTTTTCTTTGTGATTTACAACCCTCCCTTTCACCCTTGGTTTACTAGTTAATGTTGAATAAGCTACTTGTAGATGAAGGAAGACAAAATTATTGATTGCCCAGCTTTAGTTTTGTAGAGAGATATATATATTATAAATTGTTTCTGTATTAAACAGTTACCCAAGTGTCAGTGACCCTTCCTCAATCACCCGTATATTTATTAGACAGCATTTACCATTTTGAATATAAGGGGATCAGGTTTAACATTCTATTAAGAAATTAATAGGATCTTTTACAAAAGCAGCAGTGCTTTATAACTTGAAACATTGAAAGGAAGCCTATAAAAATAAGTCAACATATTTGTACTTTGTAAGACAGACCTCAAAAATGGAAGCAAATTCCATTAAAGTAGTAATATACTTTTCCTACTACTTTGTTTTGGCCATCTTAAAATTATATTTTATAATTAATTAGTAAATAAGCTGATTTGACTGAAATGAGCAACTGTGTTTACTAGAGACCTAGCTTTTCAACAGATAGAATATTAGGACATTTTTTGCCCATTAATATGTGGTTTAAAGGGAAGTTATAACAATACACCAAATACATATGTGTATATACAAATATAAACAGTTGTATGTTTTTAAGAAGTTTTTAACCAGCAAGGGGGGTGTGTGTGTGTGTGACAGAGAGAGACAGAGAGAGAGAGAGAAGGGGAGAGTGAAGGGGAGAGGAAGGGAGAAAGTGTGGGAGGAAAAGAGCAGAGGAGGAGAAGACAGAAGAGGAAAAGAGTCCTAACTTAAAAATACCAACTAGCTACTTAATAACATCTTTCATTGTCTTGCATAATAATTTCTTACATATTTTGCAAATTTCTGCATGGTTAAGGACTTTTGTAATGTTTAAATAATTGTATTAGTTTGAAATTAACTGTCTTTGTTTTTCTATCTGTATGCTGAGATTTATCTCAATTATATGTGTGAATAATATTATGCATGGAGTTACTTTTAATATGGATTTAAGTGAGATTCTAGACTATATTCTTTGTAAATATGAACATTAGAAACTTGTTCAATTGTGGGTCCTCATTAATTCAAGTCAGGAAGGCTCACCCTTTGTCCTCACACCATCTCTTAAGAAGATAAGTCCTGTGGATAAGCTGGAGAGGTCAGATGTTGGTGTTCATTTAAAGCATTGCCAGCCGAGGAGGGCAGAATGCTGTAAAACAAAGCAGAAGGAACTGTGTGGAGAGAAGGTGAATGACTGGGGGCCTTGAAGTTGAAAGAAAAGTCAGGCGCTGAGCCTGCAAGGGCAAAACGAGGTTTGTGGGATAAGAATGGTTTGTCAGAAGTCATCTGTTTGCTCAGAAGTCATCTTTCCCGAACTAGGGTCTGTTTGATATGTTCTTGTATTACAATTTATAATACTGTTTTTCTACCTGCTGGGGGTAAGATCTTTAAAGTGACATCTTACCAGGTATTATTCTTAGCTCTTGCTTATGCAAATCTCAATTAGAAAAATAACCTTTTACAGTTTTTTTTTTTTAATAATGAGAAGGTATTCAGAATGACAATGTGGTGAACACCTGTGTACCTACCAATTGGTTTAAGAAATAGAATTTATTGTTAACCTTGAAGTTCTCTAGTCTCCCCCTTAATCCTACCTCAGAGGTAAATTCCACTCTTTAAATTCTGTGTTTTTTCATTCTCTTTTTAGATAGTGTTAACATATTTTTTATATATCTAGTTTTGTATGTTTTACAACCGTATATAAATGGAGTCATGCACAATGTATGTACAATACATTCTTCAGCAATTTGCCTCTCTCACTATCATGTATCTGGTCTCATCTATATTGCTCCATGTATCTTCAATTCTTTCATTTTTGTTTGACATTCCATTGATGAATATACCACAATTTATATATTTGTTCTGATGATGAACATTTGGGGTTTTTGTTTTGTTTTCCTAAAAACGGTGCTGTTATTGAACATTAGTAGGCAGAAAAAAAAAACAAA